ACTTTCCCATGCATTTGATTGGTGAGGAACATAAGATTAACCTTAATTGATAAACATGTATAAAGGTTTGGGTATATGGAGCAAAGCCATCAATAAGAAAATGCTGCTTACTTCAAACGTGAGGCCCCAAAGCTTTCAGCAAAGGAAATCAAAGGTGCCATGTGATCAATATCAAAACCAGCAGCTGCAGCACGTGCAAATGCCATACCTTGTTCTTTCTGCAGCACAGTCTTCCGTGTCTCTAGGACTTTCAAAAGTTGAACTCTGATAGTATAGCCAAATAAAATATGTGGTTAACAGCTTTAAATGTAAGTTAAACCATGGCCAAAAAAAAGTATCTGTTAAACTGTGACGAAACTCACAACCAATCAAGTGTGCAAAAGGAGATGATACATTGACATCACATTCTTCATACTTAACACGGTGACTCTCCATTTCTGTTTCATTTTCATTCTTTTTCTTCTTTCTTATTAAAATAGAAGATGAAGAAATATTTCTGGCACAGTAAATGCATTTAATTCAATATCCTCAACTAAAATTTTATCATAATTCGTGTCATTCTTGGTCCTGGACTACATACTTGGAATTTCCCTCCTGCTCAGCAGATCCCTTGGCTTCAGGTGGCTGTTCACCAGGCTGCCAAAACAAAAGGAAACCAAGTTAAAGAGAATCATGAAAGATTCAGTACATACTCTGGCTTTGGCTTACAGCATCCTCACCGTGTATAGGACAATGGCTTTCTCCGTATTTGAATCTGGCACAGAGTTGCAGCCTGTTCAAACAAGTCAGGTACAAATCAGAGCCAGTAGATAAAGTATTAATATAAGCAAAAAATTTATCCGGCATTACACCAGGAAGAACCACTGAATAAAAGATCCAAATAAGCTAATGCCACTTAGAAATTTTTGCTTGACATGACAGTAACGTCAGAATGGAAAAGCAAACAAGAAGATTTAAGACTAAAGAAAAGAAAAGTTTAAACGCAAGCCAGTTTGATTTGCTCTGGCCACCATGGCTCTATTGTGAGAAAATTCCACTAATCGAGATAAAATCAAAAGCAAAGAACCACTTTATAGAAAGGCCAAAACTTTACAACCATACCTTCTGTGGTATGTGAAGCTTTTGCTTGAAAGCCTTCAACCTAACAGGGAACAACCAAGATTAATCTCTATGATATGCAATCATAGAATTTCCAAAGATTTTACTTACAGGACTCAACCCTATGTCATTGTTGCTTTGAATTGCCATTGCTTCCTCAATCTGCAAGATCTCAGATTCGATAGTATACACCCGTTCCAATATCTCTGGAGTGCTCACAAAGCGAACAAACCTGCAAAACCAACACTTTTTAGCCTTTCCTCAGATTTAAAGTTATTCAACCCTCTTGAAATGGTGATTAAAATCAGTAAGAGAGAAGCACAGATAATAACACCAACCTTTCCACTGTTCCCTTTGTGAACCAAGTTGCATCAATGCCAGGCTGCGGTTGAAGAGTAATTGAATAACCCCCTTTGCTCATTTGATCTTGTGCAGTCTTTAGATGAGCAAGAAATGGGCTAAGCAAACCATAAGCTAGCTTCTCCGTCTTTCCATTTGAAGAGATCACCAAATCACACCTGATCATAGAAAAGCAGAAATACAAAATATTGTCCGAGTCAACTCATAAAGCTTCAATTTGATCAAACTGCAGCCTAAAGATCAACCTCTTACCACATCCAAGCTATACTATTCAACATACATGGACTATTAACAAAAAAAAAAAAAGAACAACATAGTAGCAAAAGTTGCTTAGAAATGCACAGATACATAAACTAACAACACAAGATTCAAGAAAAATAAAAATAAAATACAGTCAGTCAATTATTCACCAAGAAGGCAAGAACATAAAGAAAACAATAAAAAGGGAGACACATTAACCACACGGTCCGCAATATAGATCCATTAATACATTAGAAGATATTACTAAAATAAATTTTGCTACTTGATGACCAAAACCATCAAAATAATGAGCTAAAATTAGTAACAACAGAAAGAAAATTACCTTGTCCGAGTTGGTGTGAGCTGGAACACAGCTGAATCAAGCAGAGTTGAAGACTTCATTGTTTACAAAGAACCGATCTTTGATGTTGAAAAACAGTATATTTCACTATGAAAATGAAAAAAAAGAAAAAAAAAAAAAGAAGAAAAATTTCACAGTTGGGTTTCTACAGAGCTCAGTGCACTAGCTACTACCAAAAAGTTTTCACCAATTTGCTGTGTATCAGAAAGACCCAGAAAGGAAAAACACCCCGGACAGACACAGGGAGGGTGGAAACTGGAGGAGGAAAGCACGAGGAAAGGCTCTCTCTTTTTTAGAGAGAGAAAGAAGGTGGAAGAGAATCCAAGATACCACCACCATAAGGAAGTGTGAAGGCTGAAACTTTTTTTTTTTATTTTTTTATTTTGGTATAAGAAGGCTGAAACTTTAATTTAATTAAATTAGTGAAAAGTAGAATTTAAGAATTTTTTTCATTTAAAATGTTATAATTATTTATAAAATTATTTCAATATATTTAATAAAGTTTGTTATGGATTATTTTATTGACAATATGTCTAGTGGAAGGAAAATGGAGGAAGAGGAAGTAAGACCAGAGAAATGGAAGAATATGACATTTCTCTATAATCCCTCCATTCCACTTTTATCCCTTTCTTATTTAAAAATATAAAGTAAAGAACTCTCACTCTTTTTTAATTTTTTGTTAATTAAATTATAAAATTTTTAATTTCTTTCCATTCTTCTCCTTTAAATCAAACATAATATAAGAGTATTTAAAATTTTTTATTAATTCTTTATATTTTAATTACTAAAACATTTTGATTTTTCTCAATTTCTTCAATTTAATCTCCATATATTATCGAATTAATACACCCCACTAACTATTAAATGTAAGTGTCATCTAATTATTTATATTATGTAGTTTATATTAAAAGATACCCTTTTGTTGTCGAATTGTTTGTGGGAGTAAATAAGGGAAAATGATAGGGGTAGGACTGAAAATTTGACTGATTTTGAAAAATTGTATTCCACAATGCTGATGCGTGAAGGACAAATATTGCATCTATCCCATTTGGGATATAATGATGGTTGGAATTTTGTACTTCCGAAAATGACCCCATCATTTTTTTCAATGGTAATATTATAATCTTGCTTGCTTTCTCAATTGCCTCAAAAAAAGTCGGTGATTTATTAGGCTAATCCCACAGGCATTGCACAAAATCATCAGTCACAAGTTTTGTATTTTATATTATACAATAAAAAATAATTTTTTAATCTCTTAACTTATTTTTATTTACGCACCTGATTTTCTTAGCTTGATAATTATAAATCATGTTACAAGTGCATTTTAACTCAAGAGTTAGGTTTCGAATTTCTCACCCCTAAAGTTATAACTTAATAAAAAAAACTTATTTTTATTGTATTATATGCAATTTAAATTTAAGATTTCATATTTTTTTATAAAAATATTACTATTAAATTATTTAAATGATTAACATAATCTCCAAATATAACATTCCAAGAATTAGTGACTTCCACATCCTTGTAAATCAAATCCAGCACTTTGGGTAAACAAATTCCATTTGGCGGTAGAGCAAAGAAAGATCGAGTAAATAATAGGATCAAATTGCATGATTGCAAGGACAATGAGGGGGGAAGTGAGAAGACAAAAGTGGTATTATAATATGATAATTGCTATTTTGTATGGCTTTGCTCTTGAGCTATCAAAAGTGTGGAAGGAATCTTTAAAAGCATAATGATGAAAATGGTATTTTGCCACATCAATCATTGGAGTTGGGGAACCAAAGTTGGAGAAAGCCATACATTACAGATTTTGTTAGTAGGGTAGTTAATTAGTTTACATTGTTGCCCTTGCCTCTAGTTCCATTTCTTGTAGAAACAAAAATTTATTTGTGGCTAAAAAAATCATCATTTATAGAAACTATAAGAGGTTGTGATACTATTGGAAGATAATGATTATTAGATAATGAAAAACTCCATATTTAAAAAACTTACTTTTATTTATTAAATTACACAACATATTTTCAAATTTGAAAAGGGATGATCAAGAAAAAAATTGTCAATTATAGAGTCTAAAGTTCTAACTTTGATCTTGAAATATTAAAGTTTTAATAAGTTAATAAATTATCAATTAGATTTATTAAACTTTATGTGACATGTTCGATGTCCTCACAGCCTGTTTTCTTCACTCATATGAATTTTCTATACAATTTGCGTTCCAAACGGATGATTCAAATTTTAGGATGAGAAACTATGGGGAAACCTATACATATAATATCATTTCGTAATACATAATTTAGGCATGTTTTTGAGGTTGAAAGCATACTTTGTTTCCTATTTGTTCACCTGCAATTCCCTC